TACAGCGAGTTTATCTGATGAAGACTCAGATGCAATATGCAAAGGCGATTGTCTTCTTTGGGAAAACCGATACCTGGACATCCGGATATGTATATGGACTCATTTTCTCTACGGTTGAACAATCACAATCACAAATTTTACAGAATAGTTTTTCACATTTATATCTCTAAGAACACAGATTTATCGTTTTATTTAACGCGAATAAAAGAATGTATTTTTCAAGTAGCAATTGATCCTCTTGACTAGTTCCTATCATCGGGGAATCATCGACAGGTTTCACATACTCGATCCGATCGAATGGCTAATGCCTTGTCGGCGTGCCACTTATTGTCGCCGACTTTCTTTTGCGATATACTCCACCTTTACTTTCGCCTTCAAGCTTTTTTGGCTCCCACTCGAGAGCGTTGCACCGAGACTCATTCGCAACGGTTGTTGTCTGACTATCGCGGAAGATCGCTCACTCGGTGTGACTTCCTACCGTAAAAAGAAAATAAATAGTACCCTGCCGGAAATGAAGGCAATACGAGTTACGCCCAACGGAAGAATAACGTCGTATATCGTGGGATTTGTCAGTTTAAAAGAAGACAAATATCTTTTACTTGATTATTTAGTAATATTCTGCATTTCTTTTAAAGATCTCTTTATTTCATTCGAACAAATCTAAAATTCTGAATTAATCCGACTCTTAATTAGTTGGAAGAAATTGCGTCGTTCTTCTCAAGATCTTCGTATCGTGCTCAAATAATGACATCGCGAGGTCGTTGAGCAGGATGCGATCGTGAGATTCGCATGGAGGACGATTGCGGAATTAATCGCACGTGAATCGCGATTGCGTGAGTATCGTTCGCACGCCGCGATGAGCTTTTACAATCTGATGATGATTGATGTAGCATATGAAAGAAGCCATAGGGAAGTATTATGACGTAACAACTTTAGCTTCGGCAAATGAGTTTTCTCTGTATCTTTGCAATGTTTGTTTGCAGAAGATTTAAGATAATATACGTAGATATATATACGTAGATTGTCTAAAAAACGTACATTTGAAAAAATTCACTTCTATATATGCATGCTGATTTCATGTTTGATATGTGCATGTTGATTATTTTTGCAATAAATTAAATATAATCATTTGCATATGATTATAATTTAAATAATTAATTATAAATCTAATTTATTGTAAAAATAGAGTCAACATTTCTTATATATACAATATACCTCGTTAATAAAAATATTTTTTCATATATAATTTGATATAATATTATGTATTACATAAAGAATTAAATTAAATTTTTTTTCTCAATGAATACTCTTCTGGAAAAGATTTTTCTTTTTTTTGTGAGACCAAAAACGAGACTTGCTCGCTGGGTGTCGTAGCGTGACGTGCAACTTGATCGCGGCAAAATGCAATTAGAGTAGTAGAGATCGCAAATTTTTCCTAGTTTCATTTAGCTCGCGAGAGCGGCACGCGATGGAAGTATTAACAAACCAGAGGCGGGAATTCCTTTTCTTCGCCCAGTTACGTGCCACTTAATTTAGACTTTTGTCAGCAAAGACTTCCGCCTACAGCTGACCTTTCAGCGTAGGAGAATCTTTTCTCTCTATCCAACATCATACTCGTTTTGTGAAACTTTCAAAATACTTTTGCAACTTTACAAGTTTTACTTAGACATTAGTAATGTCTAAGTAAAGCTTGTAAAGTTGCAAAAATATTTTGAAAGTTGCGAAAGTATTTCCTCTTCTTAGAGCATTTTTTAAAATGTGTCATTAATTGCTTAGAAAACTTTAACATTGTTAATACATCTTAGAATTATAATTAAATTAATTATTACTCTGACACGACTTAAAGTACGAAATAAAATTTCTCGGAACGATGTAAAAAATACTTATCTGCAAAATACATTGAACATATTTATTATATATATTTATATATAATAAATATATTAATATATTTATTATATTATATTATATTTAGCGAATTAAAAAATAATCACAATTTCTAAAACTGTTAAGCTAAAACTCATATAGATATATTCTATATAGATATATTCGCTTTAAAACATTTAATACGACAATGAAATCTCAAAATCAAATCTGTTTAATTAATTAACCTAACAACCGACATATGCATTTGTGTCATTATTAATTAAACATCCGTACGCAATTTGAAAATTAAACGGTGTCATGCACGCATAATGGATTTGATACAAAATCCTAAATCCTTTAAATAGGCAAAGCCATTTAAATTAACCGCAAATAAATATAGATAAAAGAAATTCCATGCTAATTTAAAAAATACAAATCAAATAATAAATTTTGTGATTATTATTTAATTATTAGATGCAAAGAGAATCTTCTAGAGAATTTGAATGTTTTTATACAATCATATACAGATACTATTATCTGTCTTGATTGAGCAAATCTCATATTGCACGACAGATGCAAGTGAATCGCGAATTTACAGTTCAAATTTTAAATCATGTGATCGAGAAGATTGAACACAAATTTATAATTTTATTTGGATACCTTATATGGATATCAAAACTCCTGTCGGGAGAAAGAAACCGTGTAGTCATCTTCACAGTGGAAAATCGAATAATAGGCAAAAGTCGTGGGCTCAGTTCGCCGAGGGGCACGAAATGCGGGTCAGTATGTGAACAGCTCTTCGCTCCTTATGTCGCAATTCAGGAGGTCGGCGACCGTCCTCCTCTCTCGATCCTCTCGATCGCGTCTCCGGCTGTTCTTTCTTCTCACCTTTTTTTTTTCTCTCGATGATGAAAGAATATGTGCGAACATTTTTATTTTTTTCTTAATGCTCGGTAATTAGATATTCTTATCGATTATTCGCACAAAAAGTAATCATGAACCCGCTTTATCAAGCGTATTTTTTTCAATATAAAGCTATGAAGACTTGAAGAAATAATTATCTTCTATTAGAATATATTTTCAGTATGAGAATATTACAAAAGTTATTATATATCGAACATTTAGAATCCTATAATAATCTTTATCTATATAATAATCTTTATAAATTAAATTATGAACTTCTCTTGGAAATTTTCTTTTTTTTTTCTCCCGTTCTCGCTTTTTCTCTCTCTCTCTCTTTTTTCTCTTTTTTTCTCTCTCTCCCTTTTTCTCTCTTTATGCGTTGAAACTTTTCACCTTTATATAGACGATAGTTAATCGAAGTTATACAATCTATCCTAACTATCTTTGCAAGAGCTGGAACGAGGTCCTGATACTCGTGAAACGTGCTTTTCTAAGGAAAGGCGTCGATCGTTATCGATACGTGCAAAATGGTATTTCATGTAAGAAGTCGCACTACTTTCTCTTTCCATTTTTCGTGTAATGTTTGGTGATCTTTAACGCTTTTATATTGGATCACCGTTCGCTTTGAAGCGCTAATTAAAATTTTATTTTCAAGTAATTTTTATGCCATATTGTACATGATTGCTCGTTTCATTTTGCGCGGTATTCTCCCATTCTCTTTAAATAAATTCTGCGTTTAAGCGTGAAAGCGTGAATATAGGCTGCAATCATGATTACTACAAGAAAAAGAATCATAAATTACACACGCGTACTACGTACTCTAATTATAGTTGATTAAGCGGAACAGTGTTTATATTTTTATATGCATAAATTTTGAACAAAGTGGAGCGTTTTATTAATATCATCTGTAAAGAAATAATTTATTAGATACGCATATAAAGAAATCTTTTCAGGTCTCGAACATTATCGTGCACTGTTAAATACTTGATGAAGTATTTCTTAAGTTGTTTAATAGTCGTAAATTATGTACTGTGAAATTTTAGTATCAGCATACAGAACGCAAATTAGAAAGCGTAGTAACGCTGGAGATGCATCGACATACTGGTCTATTTTACAATTATCTCACCATCGAGATAAAGAATTGCAATCACCAAATATGCTGAATGTTTCTAATTACTTACGTATAATATCTCGAAAGAGATTCTACATGGATTCATAAACATTACAGATAAATTACACATTGTTATTTCAGAAAATGTGGAAAATTGGAATCATACGATTCATGAGTCTGGAAAAAATCCAGAAAAATATATGAAACATTTTATATTATTCTACCATTTATATAAATAATTTAATTTATATTTTTATTTATTATTCTTTTCTCTAAAACATTTCCTTTAAAAATGGCATAAACTTCTTTTTAAGTAAAAGTGATGAAATAATTTTTAAATAAACTTATTCACAATTATATAAATTTATAAAATAAAGTCATTTATATTATTTTTTTTTCACTTTTTTAAATATTGAAATTCATGCAAAGTATATACATATCATCATATGAATCATATGTATCTTGTATAAAATAAATGTATAATAGATATATTTATTATAATGGATAGTAATAATATTAGATTCTTACAGTTGCATGTTTTATTAGATAGATAGATTAGGGCATCAATAAGAAATGTTATTTTCTATTCTATAATATACATATTTTATTAAGGGATAATTATGAGGGAATGCGAACCATTCAAATTTATACAGAACTAACAATCCTATCTTTTTTTATTCTTTTTTTAAATATTGATATAACGATTTATTTTACTGCGAGAAATAAACAATAATAATTATCATTAAACTAAAAAAATATAAACATGTTGTATTCAGTTTTATATTTTAGAAAAATTTCCGCAAACTGTTTCATGAAATTCTTTGAAATCGACATTTCTCTTAAATATAATGCTATCGAATTATTATCTATTAACATATTTACATAAAATTTATTGATTAAAATAAAATATGCTCTATCAATGCACGCATGCCAATGTAATATTTTCAAAAATATTTTACGTTCACTATTCCCCTCTATATCGAGAATGCGTGCGTGATTAGGATCAAGCATAAATTATCTATGCTAATAGTTGCGATTCGCGTGAATGTAGGACTCGAAGATTTTGAACGCAGGCTTTCACGCGCGCGGTCTACCGCAACCCCAACAAAACCCACGAACTCACCATCGTGCAGAGTGTGCTGTACTTCCGCACTGGGTCACCGCAGCACCACCCACGACCTACTCCCCGTTCCTCTCGCGCCCTTTCTTCTCCCTCTCAACAATACAAGCTCGAGACGATTTCCTCTTTGTTTACTGATCGCGTCCGTTGCACTTGCTCACATCGCACCACTGGCACATGTTCCCCGTACCGTATTCCGATCTTATCGAACTTAATCGGAGCCGATTCTCTCTCGTCACTTCGTATTCGTCTCCGTTTGTTCTCCGCGTGCTTGGAGCGAAAACGTCAACTTACGCGTGTTTTTTTTCGTTGATGCGATAGTACACGTGCGGTCTTAGGAACACGAGCAGTTTGAACGGGCTGTCCCAGAATGGACAGGCTATATAGATATCCCCTCCAGACGGAGAACTCGTGGGTACCACCGGCGAACCGTGATCCAGGAGAAAGCCTCTCTTTCGGTTGGCCCCATGGTATCGTTGCACATTAGGTATCACTCTAAAAAAGATAAGTTTCAATCACCTCAGATAATTATCATCTTTGTTCCATATCACAATTGGATTAGAAAGAATTCATGTTCAATTTATTAAAGCTACTTTGATTTTATTGATTAATTCTTCTTCAAGATATAAAATTCTAATAAATAAAACAGATATAAAATTCTAATAAATAAAACACTTTGTTTTATATAAAAATATTAAGAAAATCATCATCTTTTTTATTAGAAACAATAATTTTTCACACATACATGCGCATAATTGCGTTCCGCGACATTTATCATGTATGTTCTGATTTCTTTTTGCGTGGTGATCCGATTGCAGTGTGTCGTGTTTGAAACTTGAAGCATGTTTTTTGCATCAAACATATGATGACTACTGACACTGCAATGTATTAGACTGATCGATCAAACTGATCGATTTAATATTATCTTATCAATTTTTCTTTGTATTTTACATATTTATTTTTTTATTACATATAAACTTTCAAAACACATAGTATATTTCAATAAAGGGAATAAATATTTAAAAAATAGTACAAAATATATTAAATACATTTTAGACAATAGAGAAAGCTATATATTGTTTAATATATGTTTTTTAATTTTTTATAATTTTGATTTTTATAAATATTTCCTATATTTTATAAAATATGAGTTATGTATAGAATTTCAAATTCTATCGCGAATTATAAATAGTTTAGAATAGATCTGGACTCTATGAGAGAACCGTATTACTTCAGCTAGAATTTACAAGGCAAGCAAGAGAAGTGAGAGGCGAACGCGAGAGGTGTGCGCGTGTTACTCGTTCTTATGCAACATCTGATTGGAATCGTGAGTCGGTCAGTTCGTCGAGTTTTACGGAAATATGCGCTGTTACGATCCTCTCGCCCGCAGGAAGGAAATCGGGCGCCGTGCGAACGTCGGGATTAAGAAACGCATCGGCCGCATCTAAAAACGTATCGTAGGTCTTCTGATCCGCGCGCTATGGCTCTCAGGATATTGCAGCCAATATTTCGCCGTTTTTAAATAGAAGTTCGGTCGGAGGAAATAAGCACGACTCCGTGTAACTTTCGTAATTCTCCGCGAACATCGATTTCTTACTCCGTCTTCCGGCGCCCGAATAAAACTGAAATTGGTTAATGGGAAAGTAATGTAAAACGGTTGCATTATTCATGCCACATTCATTCATCACCTAACCATTATTCCGGATTGACAGTAATGATTTAGAAATATCTTGTATGTCATGTTTCTGTCAAACTTTTGTACGCAATAGATTCTGACTCTCTTCAAATTTTCTAATTTGATACATTGATTAAACTTTGTTCTCTTTTATGTTACATTATTGAAATAATAATTTTAGCGTCTTCATTGTTTAATATATTTATTAATTATTATTTATTAAAAATTAATTCTTTTTAAATTTACAAAATTTTTTACTATCATACTTTTATCTTGTACATTATCTGTAGAATTCAATTACATCTTTGTGCAACTATTAGAATTAACATAGAGAAAAAGGAATACAAAAGATTGATGAGGGTTTTATGAGAAAATTTTAAATTTTAAGAATGCAGATTCAAATTTTAAAAATTTGAATTTTACAAATCTAAAAATTTTCCAGAGATTTCTTCAAAGATTTTAATATTCTAATAATCTTTAACTCTTATATCTATAAATTTGAATTTAGTAATTCCAATAAATTCAATAAATAAAATTTCAATAAATAAAATTTCAGACCGCAATAACTTAAAAAAAATCACAGCATATTAGAAATATATATTTAAATATATCTTATGCAATAAAAATAGTTTTAGAATTTTTCATTGTATGAAATTTCTGGTATAGTCTTTGGAATTTATCTGGAATTAACATAAAAGTACTTTCATATAATTTTATAAAAAAAAAGAAAACGCAAAGACATAGCGTTTCTTTGGAAACATATCCTTTTAATGTCCTTTTAAGTGGCGTGAAATAGGGACGAGCAGGAGAGATAGAAGGACGAGGTGAATTGTTGAATAGAATGCCCGGATATACGGGGCGCTGATGATTGCATGCCTTCAACATTCGCACGGCCCACCTAATGCCGGACACGTTTCACGTTGTTCTGCATAGAATGATTAAAAATACAGTAGCCGATAAATTACTGATCTAACAAGCTGATTTTTACATTAAACGTATAATATATTTTATAAATTTTGATAATTTATTAAAAATGTTATTTTAAATAAACTTTGAATTCTATTTTTATCTCTTCTTAACTATTGAAACTCGAGCGCATAATACAAATACCTTTCACATTTCTTGATTTAATTTCACAAGGACGTTCGGCTTTTCTTACTGATTAAAATTCACTCGATTAATGTATTATAATTGCATAAAATAAACACACATAAATAACAAGAGGGTTCCGAGGGTGAAAGTGAGAGAAATTCATAGTTTGTTCTATCGAGCTACGTAAACATGTACCAAACAAAAGCACTTAAAGATCTTTACATTGTGTCGTTGTTCCATTAAGAGATCGTTAATCGATTTATATAAGTATAGTTGTGAGTAACCTTGAAACACGAACTGCAGTTTGTACTAATTGGAAAAATATATAATTTCTCCCTGTAGAAAGTATTCATATCCGCGAGAAATGGAAAAGCTGTGAAAGTAAAATATGTCTAACCAATATATTAATTTTATTGTATATTTGTCATTACTAGAAAAGAATTAGTGAAGAGGCTAAATTTAACAATCAAAAATTAATTAACAAATAAAAGGAGAAAAAAGAAAAAGAGAGAGAGGAAGGGAGAGAAGAAGAAGTTGAGCGCAAACAAATATTATGACAAATATTATTATAATAATTTTAAAATAATAACTAAGTTAATGTAATGATATCAATTTTAATAAATATAGAAAAAGAATGTACGATATCTATATAAATAATCATGATTAATTACATTTTCATATACATATGAAAATATATTTAAACAATTTATATAAAAATAGATTTATGAGTTTATTCTTTAAAAAATGATGTGAACAATTTTATGCATATATGTTCGATTCTATAATTTAAAAATTTTTAAATTGATTAGTGTTTTTCTATTTCTGCATGTAATAGTAGTATTTACGCGATGAACTCGATCTGGTAAGTAATGGTATGATCCGCTCTATGTCTTTCTTTGACATGCGATGTCCTGTATAAACAATTATTAACTTGTATGATTAATTAACTCCAAAATTCATGATAATATAATATAGTTCCTAATTTCTTTTAGTCAAGAAATTATTTTGTAATTGCATTGTATTGGTAACGATTGGTGCTCTTTTAGAGCATATTTATTTTGCATTGGTTTGCATGATATGAAATTTTTCTACAGCTTGACGTTGATAAAAGAAGTTTAAGAAAACTTAGTGGATTTATTCTGAAGGAAACACCAAGTATCTAAATAATTTTTAATGTTTTCGTGCTTTCGCATCTTAATTAATTCTAGAGAACCGTGCAAAAAGTAGCGCATTCGAATTCAGCAGTCCTATGTCGCATGTCTATTTTTATTGTATCATGAATGATTTGTCTTAATTTTGGAAATACCATACAAAGGCATTAACATCGCTAATAGTCATATTCGCGAAATTCGAGAGTGCTCGTGCCTTTGTTTTTAAATTTTTAGGCATTTTCTCCCCTATTTTCGATTTCAATCCAACATCTAGTTTGATACTTTAAATTTAAATAATCAGATCATCCTATTTAATTTATAATTTTGCCTTAGAAAACTCCTTCTTTTAACTTTTAAACTACTCGTTTACTGTTTATTAAAAAAATATAAAGTAGGAAATCAATAATACAAAATTTTTATATAGATGAAACTTTCAAAATCCTTTAGAATCTATAAACATGAAAAATAATAATTGGAAATAGAAGCAAAATTTCAATAATGGCAAAATTCGATAGCAGTAAAAACTCGAATAATAAAAACATATTTATATATTAAATTTCAATCTCGCAGTTTTACACAACAACCTCAAGAAATATCGCATCACTTTATAAGATTTATTTAAGTAAATATATAAAAGAAGAAAATATTCTTTTTGTGGATATTCTATATACCTATTTTAAGCACTTCTGTAGACCTTCATCTTTCCTTTCACTGTAACAATTTATAAAAGTACTAACTTATGCGAAATTTCCTGCGTGTGCATTTGTCGTAGGCTTTTTACGAAAGACAGTCTTTTATGAAGCTTCTAACCACCTCGTAAAATGCTGGGTGGTTAGAATCTTCGTGAAATACCACAGGGAGTAAATCTATAAAATATAGAGAGTAAATCTATAAAATATTTCCTGCGTGTGCATTTGTCGTAGGCTTTTTACGAAAGACAGTCTTTTATGAAACTTCTAACCACCTCGTAAAATGCTGGGTGGTTAGAATCTTCGTGAAATATCACAGGGAGTAAATCTATAAAATATATATATTACTAAAAGAAATTGTATGTTTGTATCGTAAAAATTTTCACGGTAATTGATGTTTCTAAGAACAAACACTTTTACAAAAAGTTTCTCTTGTCTGTTTATTTGATAAAAAAAATTGACAATATTTTATAAATAGCCAGAATCATTTTTGAAAAAATCGTTCTAAAATCTTATAAAAATATCTTATAAATATAATCGTTGATAATAATAAATTGATAATAATAAATCAACTTTTCTTCGAGCAGGATTGTTTGAACAAAGTTCGATCAAAGTTTCATTTGGCAAAAATTAGTCCGAGGACGTGCGGGGAGTTCTAGAAAAATTGAGATTGTCATCACGAGCGACGCTAATTGATAGCAGAAACAATAAGGTTTTATTCCGTAGTCTCGTGCCTTCAGAGTCGCCGCAGGTGAAA